TAACAACAACAACAACATATGGTTGGAACACCGGTTATTAAAACATTTTCTAATTCTACATTTAAATTATTTCCAATATTTCTTTATTATAAATAACACTAATAACCAAACCAAACCTAACTGCTTTCGAGTCGATTCCGACTCATAGCAACCCCCATTGGGTTTCCAATGTTGTAAATCTTTACAGAAGCAGATTGCCTCATCTTTTGTCTGTGAAGTGGCTGGTGGCTTCAAACCATCAACCTTTTGGTTAGCAGCCAAATACCTTAAATCACTACACTACCTAAAATTCACTGCGGATCCGCACTCATAGTGAACTCACCTTGTGTTTCCAAGGTTATCACTATGGAAGTAGATTGCCCAATCTCCCTTCTGAGGAGTGGATGGTGGGTTTGAACTGCCAGCCTTCTGGTTAGCAGTCAGATGCTTTAGGCACTATGCCACCAGAACTCCCAACCAGAGCTTAAATAACTAGATAGTTTTATATCAAAATCTTTGTTCTCATTACTGATTATTCATGTAAGGTAAGTAAATAACTAGTAGTAGAATTGTCTGGTCAAACAGATAAACATTTTTTAAGGTTCTTGATAGAATATTGCCAAATTGCTTTTCAGAAGGGTTGGGCCACATGCTACTCCCAGCAAGCACCATATGAAACTGCCTTTATCACTATATCCCTGCCAGAATTGAACGTTTTCTTTTTTTTTATTTTGCTAATTTGATTGTTCAAAATAGTAGACGGCATTATTAATACAATACTAAACATTCAGTTCAAAAATATATGGGTATTTTTATTTCCTCTTCTATAAGTTTATTCTACTGTCATGTTTATGAAGAGATTATGTCTGGAAAGGGTGACTTTCAATAACACTGCTTTAGGTAATGGTCCATTGGCAGAGAACTCCCCTATGGCCTTTTGAAGATGGGATACAGGTATTTATTACGTTTATAGAAACAATTTTCTAAGAGATGAGCCTTTGAGTAATAAAGGTAATTGTCTAAACAAACTTTAAACGTACATTTCTTTTTCTGGACTTGTAAAAGAGTAACTTGTTCTCCAAATCAGTTTTTCAATGTATCCCTTCAACTTTGCTCTTGCTTTTCCTGGATTATCAAACAAGAATGGCAGTACATTGCACAGGGCTCTTTTACCTTTTTGCCTTTCTAGGTTCATCAACTTTACTATTATACTTAGCAATTTGCTTTCAATTCCAATGTCTGTATCCTTTAGTCCTCCAGTCCTACAAGCTTCTCACTGGACAACTTACTGACACTTTAAATTTAGGAGGCCTAAAATTAAAATTCCTGGTTTTCTGGTGCAGTGAATTGCTTGATGTGGCCCTTCTAGCCATTGTCCTCCATTCTGTGGTGTTTCGTAAATCCCATTATCCATGCCTGTTTGGGGTGGTGTGGTAGTTAAGGTCAGGTATCAACTTGGCTGGGCAGCTGGTAGTAGTCATTCCCTACAATGACTGGCAAGCGACTCTGTGATGGGAT